AAAAATGTGCCACTAAATATCATTTTTTGTGGCATTTTTTAAAAACGTGCCACTAAATATCGTTTTTTGTGGCATTTTCTAAAAATATACCACTAGTGTAGTGCCACTGAAGTATGTTTTTGTTGTAGTTTTGTGACACTTGTTCATTGAAATGTCACTAGAGCCTTTTATGTTTGTCGTTTTGTGGCATTTTTCAAAAACGTGCCACTAAATATCATTTTTTGTGGCATTTTTTAAAAACGTGCCACTAAATATCATTTTTTGTGGCATTTTTTAAAAACGTGCCACTAAATATCATTTTTTGTGGCATTTTTTAAAAACGTGCCACTAAATATCATTTTTTGTGGCATTTTTTAAAAACGTGCCACTAAATATCATTTTTTGTGGCATTTTTTAAAAACGTGCCACTAAATATCATTTTTTGTGGCATTTTTTAAAAACGTGCCACTAAATATCATTTTTTGTGGCATTTTTTAAAAACGTGCCACTAAATATCGTTTTTTGTGGCATTTTCTAAAAATATGCCACTAATGTAGTGCCACTGAAGTATGTTTTTGTTGTAGTGTTGTGACACTTGTTCATTGAAATGTCACTAGAGCCTTTTATGTTTGTCGTTTTGTGGCATTTTTCAAAAACGTGCCACTAAATATCATTTTTGTGGCATTTTCTAAAAATATGCCACTAGTGTAGTGCCACTAAAGTATGTTTTTGTTGTAGTGGACCCAAAATAGCTACAAAAAAATAAAATAAATTAAAAAGTCAATAAAATAAAATATTACATCTAAATCATAATCATTTCATTTTTTCTCGCACAAAAGTTAAAAAAAGTCAAAAAATCCAACCCAAATGATACTTTTTAACCCCAGGTTAAAATAGTTAAAAAGCCAAAAATCAAAAAGTCAACTCACATTCCAAACAAAGCCAAAATTGGGTGCTTTGTAACAAATTCTTTTGTGATTTCTTGGGTGTTACCGATGAGATCTCGGCTTGTGGCTTTGATATCAGATTTGTATTGTGTCGGGGTGTAGACACCCTATTTTTGATCACTTTTAAGACTTGGGCGTTTTATTCCGAACACCCGATGATGAAAGTTACATTGTGCGATCTTTTGAATTCTTGGCGAAGAAATTTGGATTCAAGCACTAATCCCGAACCTTGTACCC